GAATGTAGCATCAGGATTGAAGGAAGGCTTACTTAGACCCTGCTATATAGAGATGACACAACCTTGCTTGCTGGAAATGAGAAGGAATTGAAGCACTGATGAAGCTCAAGGATTGTAGCCTTCACTATGGATTACAACCCAATATAAAGAAGTCCAAAGTCCTCACAACTGGATCAATAGGTAGCAACATGATACATGGAGAAAAGGTTGAAATTATCAAGGATTTGTTCTCACTTGGAGCCACAATCAATGCTCATGGAAGCAGCCGTTAAGAGATCAGATGACGTATTCCATTAGGGAAATCTGCACAATATCTCTCTAGAGTATTGAAGAGCAAGGATGTACATCTTTGAGGGCTAAGGTGCACCTGACCCAAGCCATGGTATTCTCTATTGCATCATATGCATGTGAAAGCTAGCCATTGACTAAGGAAGACCACAGAAGAATGAGTACATTTGAATTGTGGTGCTGGAGAAGAATACTGAAAGGACCATGGACTGCTAAAAGAACAGACATCTACATTGGAAGATGTAAGGCCAGAGTGCTCCTTAGAGACCAGGATGGTCTTACAGACTTTGGACATGTTGTCAGGAGAGACCAGTCCCTGGAGAAGGACATCATGGTTGGTCAAGTGGAGGGTCAATGAAAAAGAGGAAGGTCCTCGACAAGATGGACGGACACAGTGGCTGCATCCACGGGCTCAGGTATAGAGACAGTTGTGAAGATGGCAGAGGACCGGGCAGTGTTCTGTTCTGTTGTGCACAGGGACACTAGGGGTCAGAGCCAACTGGATGGCACCCAACAACAACCACATATGCAGATGTCATCACTGCGCTTGCTGAAAGTGAGGAGGACTTGCAACATTTGCTGATAAAAATCAAGGACTGCAGCCTTCATATGGATTACATACAACTCAATGTAAAGAAGACCAAAATCATCACAACTGGACCCACTGGCCATCATAATAAATGGACAAAAGATTGAAGTAATCAAGGATTGCATCTTGCTTGGATCCACAATCAATGTTCAGGGAAGCAGCAGTCCAGAGGTCAACACATGCAATGCATTAGGTAAATCTGCTGCACAAGAACTCTTTAGCGTGTTGAAAATCAGGGAGGTTACTTTGAGGACGAAGGTGCACTTGACAGAGCCATGGTCTTTCCATTGCCTCATAGCATGTGAACGTTGGGCATTGAATAAGGAAGACCAAAGAAGAACCAATGCATATGACTTGTGGTGCTGGCGAAGATTACTAAAAGGACTATGGACTGCTAGGCATTCAACCCACTCTGTCATGGAAGAAGGAGGGGCAGAGAGCTCCTTTTGGTAGCAGTGGCAAGACTTCATGGCACATACATTGGACATGTTGTTAGGAGAGCTCAGTCCCTGGAGGAGGACCTCATGCTTAGTACAGTGGCGTGGCAGGGAAATGGATCCACACATAGGAACAACTGTGAGGAGGGCTCAGGACCAGGCCGTGTTTGGTTCTGTTGTGCACAGTACGGTCCCTGTGGGTCAGAACCAACTCAATGGTACCTAACAGCAACACCATTACTTGCTAGCAAGACTCTTTGACTTACCCTCATGTATGCAGACCAATGGTTCTCAACCTGTGGGTCACAACCCCTTTGGGATTCAAACAACTCTTTCACAGGGATCGCCTAAGACCATCGGAAAACATATTTCACAATATATAATGACTTATTGTTTTGTTATTAATCGCTATGCTTTAATTATGTTTAATTATGTTCAATTTGTAACAATGAAGATACACCCTGCCTATCAGATATTTACATGACAATTCAGGACAATAGCAAAATTACAGTTATGAAGTAGCAATGAAAATAATTTTATAGTTGGGGGGTCACCACAACCTGAGGAAGCGTATGAAAGGGCTGCGGCATTGGGAAGGTTGAAAACCACTGCTGTATACCAAAAACACCAAACTCACTGCCATCAAGTCAATTCTGACTCATCGCAACCCTATAGGAAAGGGCAGAACTGTGCGTTTCTGTGACTGCGACTCTGCAGGAGTAGCCAGCCTCCTCTTTCTCCCCATGGTTGCACACACACATACATATGCATGTGCATGTGTCCATATGTGCATACATATGTATATCTGTAAATATATGTGTACTCATGTATGTGTGTACAGAAAGAAAAACAGGATAGAAGTATACATACCTGGTTGGTTATATTTTGGGGGAGCACCCTGACTAATACAATCCCGAAGGAAGCAGAAGATTGTAGGTTTTGGCCAGACAACTGTATGTAGAATGAGATGTGTGGAGTCAGCTAATGTTGGTTTCAAATGTCCCCTATATGACATCACAGGATAACCAAAGCAAGTCATTAACCTCTCTGAAACTCAGACTTTGGTACAATAATGAAATGTGCTGATTTGGTAATGTGTGTAACATGGTATTCCACCTTCAACTGAAGTTCAACACATTAGATTCCACCACTGTCACGAATATCACCGCTCTGGTATGTGGGTTTAGTCCATCCTACGTCTGCCATAAAGAAATAATGGATCCCTTGGAAATCACCCTTACCATGTTTCTCATCGTCTTCTCGGCTGTGGCGGCTACTATTCAATCAGAAGTCCTTCAAGAAAGGACAAAGAGCAGAAAGCTATGCGGGAATCAAAGGGGGAGGGGGCGGTCCCTCCGGCATCCCCCTCCCAGTAGTGGGTCTGAAGATGTTCCATGGGATCTTCAGGACCAGCAAGTGAGACTTAAAGCCACCGAGATGTCAAATGGCTGAACGGTGCTGGGAACCTACCCCATTGCCATGCCAACGTTCTGGGGTCCAGAGTGGAGTCCACAGCGGAGAGCATCCCCACACCCATCCACACCCCACAAAATGTGAGCCTCGCAGCTCCTGGGGTCTCGGTGTCCTACGTGAGAAACCAGCACATTTTCTCAGGGCTAAATTTACGTAAATGTATTCAACCACAACATTCCAATTTAATCCATTCTTGAGGACCTCAAAGACCAGTGCCTGGACGAACATATGTGTCCCACCCACAGGGTGAAGCTGTACTGCATTTTTCACAAGAGGACGTCTAAAGAAGCAATAAGCATGTCCTTCTTCCATCCTCTCCCCTGGAATCTTCCTGATATTCCAGTGGGGCAAAATACCCTAAACTTTTAGAGATGCGGGGGGGGGGGATGAAGGCCAATAAAGAAGACATACCTCAGTTTTCCTAAACAAGAAAGGGCAGAGGAGCCAGCTATCCTTCTGAGAACAAGCAGCTTGGCTTTTGGAAATGAAGTCAGAATGCCCTAAAAGAGTTAATTCCCTTCCCAAGGGCAAGTGCTTGTTGATTTCTCCAGAGAGGCATTCTTGCTCTAAGATTAAACCAAATAAAAGCCAAAAGAGCTCTACACTGCAGAAAGAGCCTCTTGGGTCACTTAAGGACCTGTGCCTTTGGGTCATAACTATTTTCTAGTTATAATGGAGAACTAGAATTGTCACCTAGGCAGTTTATGAAATAACTTACCAGGTATTGGAGTAAATGCCAATAGGCTATCCCTCCCCCTGGTCATTATGGGTTCCCTCCCCACTCCTCCTCTGTGAGTGTTAACTATGGAGACTGGCAAGCTAAAAGCTCCAAATAGCCACCCCTCCAGGTGCCATAACAGCCAGGGGAGACCATGGAACCTAAATGTGGATGGTGAATGTTGGTGGTGGTGTGCTAGGACCACTGAGGAAGTGTTTGCTGTACTAAACCGGAGGAGTATGAACAGAGGGAGAGAGTGATGGAATCAGCTGGCTAGGGGTGGACAAGGAGGGTGTCTTAGTTTCCCAGGACTGCTGTTACACAAATTCCCCAGAGGGATCACTTTAAAGAACCAGACTTCATTGTCTCACAAGAGGTGGTAGTGTCAGGTGCCATCGAGTCCACTCCATGTCGGAGAGACCCTGCGCACGACAGAAGGAAACGCCGCCCATCCTGAGCCATCCGCACCACTGTTTTTATGCCTGAGCCCGCTGATGCAGCCACAGTGTCAATCCATCTAGTGAGAACCCTCCTCTTTTCTTTATTGATTGGGATTTAATACATATATCATTCCATTGTTCGATCACATCAAGTAGAATTGTACGATTGTTACAATCAGAACCAGACCTTCTTTTTCTACGTGGGCTCCTTGAAATTGTCTCCCTTTTACCCCCTACCACCACTGCCCCCTCCCCCCAAAACCCTTATTCTACATGCTGTCCCTGTAAATTCATCAATCCTGGGTCTGACATAGCAAGAAAACAGAAAAGTTCATAACACAACTTCAATAGGGCAACCCTCAACGACATAACACATCTGAGATGTACCCTCATATGAACAAATGGAAAACAAACCAAAAACATATATAAAATTTTGGAAGCCAGATCTGGTCTAGCCTACATCATAGGGGGCTCTGGTGACAAAGCAAGTCCGATTTATGCCTTTGGTCTTCTACAGTCCTCTCTTCCAAGCACTGTTTAGTGACCCCTTTCTTCCCATCCCCAATTTTAGACAGGGGAGTTCTCTGGAGGCTTATGTCCTGATAGTTCCACAATGAATGCGGGGCTCCCACTTCCATCCATCACCTTCTGCACACCGGATTCAGCGGCCAGGGAAGTTATGTCAGTGGGGGAGAAACATCTTAAACCCGAAGGGCGACAAGGGTGGCACAACTGGAAGCATGCCATCAGGGTCACCGGGTTGTCCATGTAGAAATCTGACTCTCTGCAGCAGCGGTGCT